GGGATAAACTGAATCGCATCATAATAGACTCGGTCGAGTTTTAGAACACCAATTGAGTAGGACTCTTCTTATTTGCCTTCACCAAGCAAAAGGAAAAAAAAAACCAAAACCTATTGGAAAGCTGACCAGTTCAGCCAGAGTTTCCTCCAACCTCTTCTCTTGTCACATGGCATGAGGTATTTCATGGAGAAGATGCTATATTTTAATGGAGAAAAATGCATTGACAACATCGAGATACTAGCATATATCAACTAGAATGATAGTTTTAATTTTATTAGATGTTAATTCACTTAGAATAAATAATTATAGTTGACCATAATGCTGTGAAGGAGAGGAAGATGGGATCATAATGGTGTATTGAGAAAGCTGCCAGCACGGCTATCCAAAAATAATAAATCTAACTACTAAACCTACGTTTCCTTGTATTTTTGGATGAGGCTTATACGACGTGCCTTTGTCAAGGCTATCCTCTAAAAATTTGTTTGGAAATGTAGTTTTAGTGTCGGAAAATTTATGGTCGATTGAAATCTATCTGTATCCTTAGTTATATAATTTAAATTTTAAAAATGATACAGATCGAACAAATATGTAAACATTTGAAAATCTTGAACATAGATAATTTAGATAATTTGTTACAAGGATGAGCTATTTTCAAGACTTGAAATTCCTTTTTTCATTGGGATTGTATACAATGAGATCATTTACCTTTGATACAAGGTGGTCACAGTTATTTATAACCATCCGATGTGAAGTTTGATAGCTTGGATGTATTACAAAGTTCTAGAAAATTTCTTTTGAAATCTGAGCTTGGTCAATAGAATAATTACAGCCACCCAATTTCACATTCTATAGTCAAGATTAATGTCTCACCATGTACCAAAAATGAATGGTCTCATTCTATATTTTCCCTTTTTTTTTATGTCCATATGTTTTGAGGTTGAAATGATCAATTGGAGGTGCTGAACGTTGGAATAGTCACTTCTTGATGATTTTTGAGGTGCACCTTACTACAAAAATATAAAGTTGCAACTTTATATAAACTTCTTCCTTACATTTATGTTTTATAAAGAGAAAGGGAAGTGAGTGGGTTATGACAACGTGAGGGAAAAGTTTATAATAAGAATTTCATGAAGAGAAATAAGAGAGCCAGGAAGAGAGGAAGACGGAGAGTTCATAAAAATAGAAAAGTAAGTCATTATTATCATTATCGTTAAAATCTTTTTCCAGCTAATTGAGGTCGGCTACATGAATTCTGGTATATCATTTTTCTCTATTAAAGATTATACTGTCAGTGAAGCCATTAATCCCCATATCTTTTCTCACTACTTCCAACTATGTCTTTTTGAGTCAAATTTTTATATTTTTTAGCCTTCCACTTGAATTAATTCGCATCTCCTAACGCTTAAAAAAGTAAATATATATAAAAAAAATTTACATACAAACCAAAAAAATAGCTTATATGAATCCTTTCCATGATGATTAACTGTTAAGTATGGGTCAAGTGTTGTGGCAATCGATGTACTTCACTTTCAAACCACCCAAATACTTCAGTCTTTTTGCGTTTTGAGCCGTTCAAAAGTCAAGAGTTTTCAACAGCCCGAACACAACTTTTTGATGCTTTGGACTGTTTGAAAGTTATAATTTCGAATCTAGGGAAAAACAAATATAAGTTTTACGCCTTAAAGTAAAATGACGCAAAATTTTAAACCAATATTGTTAGGTTGGGTTTTGCCACATCAACAAAGTGAACACTAGTAGACGGGAGAGTTTTCTTCGTTTGTTCCTATTAAAACTTTCCATATGAGTGCCACATATATACAAAGAATTACGAAAGGGAAAAAGCACCAAATCTACTTTGACATATATAAAGTATAAGGGAAATGATCTTATAAGACCCTCTCCCACCCATATGTATAGGACCTCAAAAGATTACCATTAAATTTGACACGGATCTATAGAAAAGTCAAGTTCCACACCCATGTGATAGTTTTTTTAAAGATCCGTACCAATTTTAATGGTGATCTTTTGGGGTCTTACACACATAGGTGGGGGAAGGTCTTATAGGATCATTACTCTTTTATTTATTGTTGAGTTTAGTAATAAATTTATATATTATTAATTTTTAAAATTTTTAATTCTCTATAAAATAAACGAAATCTTCTCCCGAATCAACTAAAGCACTGAATTGCTTCATTTTTCAGATCAAACCGAAGTAGATTCTAAAACGAATATAACAACATTGTATAAACCATAGTTTAAAACGAATAAAACAACATTGTATAAACCATTTCATGATACATATTTCTTTTCTTTTTCCTTTTTTTCCTTTTTTGGGGTCCGTACATAAAATTTTCGTATATTAACTTTGGGTACGAGTCACATGATGTGGTAGCTGATGGTGTATTTTAAAAAAGATAAAAAGCATGACATTGTATACAAGCCCCTTATAAAATATTTGACAGAACGTAGAGGTCGGATACTCATGAATCACGCGGTAGTTGCCTAAAAGGCAAAAAATTGTTATGGGTTTAATAAAACATTAAACAAGATCAAACCCTATGCTTAGCAACCCAAAAAATAAGGGCAGTGGACCACACAACAAAAGCGAAGAACCCCTTTGCAGTGTTTTAAAATCCTCCCATTTGGATTGGGAATCGAGAATCAGTTGGAATAGAATAGGTTTTAAAAAGGTATCAATGCTACCGGTCCGGTCCCCCTAAAAAATGCCTTTTTATCATTCTTTTTTTTTTTTCCTTAATGTTTTCTTAGTACCCTCCTAAATCACCCCACCTCATGAATTTCTTTTTCTTCGTTTTTTAGATGTTAAATTCTGACTGATCTGGGTTTTGAGGCACTACCCCTATGTTTGGAGTATTTTCCGTGTTTGTTTTGGAAGAAATGTTCGATTCCATGCTTATAGCTTTATACTGTAATCTAACATTTTACGAAAAATCCAGTGTTGATTGAATCATCGACATGCAACAAATGGTGAACGGTGATGGGAAGAGAGTGGGACGCATGGTTTGATAACTTATTCTAATGAACTCCACTCACTCCATCATCATCCATTATTCTATTATGCAACGATGATGAATGAGCTATAGCTCTACCTTTTGCCACTGACGTATCATTAGTCTTTGCCTTTTGTTTTGTGTGGGCATATAAAAAAGGGTATGGTTTGTGTAAGGCCAAGGCCCTAAACAATCAAATTAAATCACACCTTCAAATTGTATTGAAAGAAGTTGTCTCAGTACTAGAAATTGATGGCTTGAAAATTTATTAGTTTAGATCGAACAGATCTATGAACATTTGAAAATCTTGAAATTGACATTCCAAAAAACGCAAGGACAAGAAATCAGTTTTTTCTCATGTCTATACGTTTTAAGGTCGAGATAATTGAGTTTGAGGATTTTTCACCATCGAAACAACTTTTTCTAGTGAATTTCTGAAGTACACCTTAATTTGATTATTTAGGGCCTCACCCTTATAAAAACTTTTTTCTTTAACGAAAGAATTTACATAAGATGTCAACCTTATACTAGAAGTAAGCCGTACCTCAAAAAACCACCAAAAATAATTCTTCCAAAATAGGAAAATCCTTGATCATATGGACCTCAAGTCATCAAGACAGATATGAAAATAAAAAGAGTTATAAGTCTTAAAAATAATACATCTTGTATTAGTACATTTTCAATATTTTCTAGTGTCACATAATTGTCTGAGCTGTTTCGAGTTTTAAATTTCATAATTAGCTTGGCTTGGAGTTGTGCTTTAAGTTCGGGACCTTGTAATAAACCACTTCCTTTTGGACTTTGGGAAAAAATCTAAATGGTGATTATAATTTAATGTTTGCTTCTACGTTATTTCCCACGTCTATTTCTTTATTGGAAAAAGTCTACATAAGATGACAACGAACTTTACAGTGTAGAAGTCTAAGTGCACCTAAAAACCCTATTGAAAAAGGTTATTTAGTCACAATAAAATTTTCCAATTGATCATCTTGATGTTGATATATATATATATATATAGATATGGATGTGAAAGTAAAAGTAAATTTTATATTTTAAAAATAATGCATCTTACAACCGATTATCTAAACCGTTTATTTTCAAGATTTTCGAAAACTCATAGATCGCCAAGATTTGCATCATTTTTTGATCCTTCAATTTCGTTATAGGGGTGGAAAATAGACTCGCCAAGATTTGCATCATTTTTTGATCTTTCAATTTCGTTATAGGAGTGGAAAATAGACTCGTTAGGCCGCGATAATGAGAGTTTTGACACCGAAAATATATATTTTTTAAGAGATTTCGAGGTGCACCTTACCGTGCTCTTTTAAGGTTGACACCTTATACAAACCTCTTGGCCCAGATCGCTTGTCCCATATCAGTAAAGATCTATCAGCCCAAACCATTGGTCCCAAAATCACTAAAGAAGCTATTTACAGAGAGGAACAGATAAACCAGTGAAGAATTCATACAGTTTCCTGTCATAGAATAGAAGATATACAGAAAAATATTTCTCAGAGATGTCCTGGATCAGCTCTCCATCATGTTTCTCACCTTCCTCTTCAGAGCCACCACTTTTCACAGGATTTTCAGAAGCTTTCCTCTGGTTTCTTCTTCTCTCACCATGCCCACAATTCGCTCTAGTCTCCTCTGTACATCTCATTTTCCTGATGACCTATCTTGTCTTGTCTTTAAACAAGCATAAAAATCTTTTTGAGAAGAACCCACATGCCACTTTCCTCCACTAGAGCTGTTAAAACCAGTTTCACATTCAAACTGAGCTTAACTCTGACCTCTCTATTCTCAATTGTTTATTTCAGTCTCTCTCTTTGGATCTTTTTCTTGAGAAATGTCGATAATTCATGGAAACTGGAGCTTGGGGTCCTTTGGTTGATCTTATCGATCAGTTATCTAGCATTTCTTATCATCCTCTTGCATCAGAAAAGGTATAGATCGACAGTTCATCCGCTGTCAATTCGACTTTGGTGGGTCTTGAGCTTTCTGCTTGGTGTTTTGCTCTCTGTCTCAGCATTCAACCGATTAGTCCTCCATAGCCCAAACGATAATCGCGAGCTATGGGTTGGAGACATATTAACACTTGTGTCTCTACTTGTTAATGCTTTTCTCTCTCATTGCCATTAAAGGATCCACAGGTATAATTCTTATGGAGAGTTTGAAAGAAGAAGAGAGAGAGGGGAAACTGAGAGAGCCTCTTTTATCAGAAGCTGACAACATTGATAATGGGATTAGTACCAAAGTTACTCCTTATAAGTCAGCTGGGTTTCTCTCTAGAGCTACATGGACATGGATGAATGGATTGTTAAAGAAGGGCTATGAATCTCCATTAAAATTTGAAGATGTGCCTGCTCTTGCACCATCAGACTCTGCAGAATCCATGTATAAGTTCTTCGAATCGAACTGGCCCAAAATTGACTCTAAAAAACCAGTGAGTTCTACCTTGCTCAAATGCTTTTGGCCCCATCTCTCCTTCACTGCTGCCTTAGCTATACTTCGCCTCCTCGTAATGTTTGTTGGCCCATTTCTCATCCACAGCTTCGTGGATTTCACTTCAGGGGAGAGAAACTCTCCCTATGAAGGCTATTGCCTGGTTTTGATATTGTTGGTTGCAAAATTCATTGAGGTTTTGAGTGGTCATCACTATAATTTCCAGTGCCAAAAGCTTGGAATGCTTATAAGATCCACTCTCATAACATCTCTCTATCGGAAAGGCCTTCGCCTCTCTAGCTCTGCTCGCCAAGACCACGGGATAGGCCAGATTGTGAACTACATGGCTGTTGATGCCCAACAGCTCTCCGATATGATGCTCCAGCTTCATTGTATATGGCTGGTGCCTCTTCAGATTGGGGTTGCTCTGGTTCTCCTTTATGCCTTATTGGGAGCACCAGTTGGGTTTGGCCTCCTTAGTACGATGGCCGTGGTGGTGTTTGTTTCGATTGGTAGCAAGAGAAACAACAGGTACATGATGAGCTTTTCTTAGGAGTCAAATCTAGAAGAGAATTGTGGGCTTCATGTTTTATTTGGACTGACATCTAGTCTTAAAAGTAATTGCTTTTCAGATTAAAGTGTGTCAAATTTTTAAGAAAATATCTTCATTCTTGAGAAATAGATCAGGGTTCAATTTTTGGATTTTAGAACTGATTTTTGCATATTACGGATTTTTACATCAAACTTGGGCTGATGTTTGACCTGAAAAGTAACTGTCCTTTAGATTAAGAATTTGGGTTCAATATCCCAAAACAAAAGATCCATTTCTTACAAGAAAAGTCCTATAAGTAAATTTATTTCTCATTGAATAGTTTATTCCAGTAAATGGTTTGAGAAAAAGCAACTAAAATAGTCCAACTTAACCAGCAAAAAATCATAAAAAAAACATTCACCTTTTTTCGCAGGTACCAATTCAACCTGATGAAGATGAGGGACCTCAGATTGAAGGCCACAAATGAGATGCTAAATCACATGAGAGTGATCAAATTTCAGGCATGGGAGACCCATTTCCACGAGAGGATCAATGGCCTGAGAAAATCAGAATTCGGGTGGCTCACCAAGTTCATGTACTCAGTTGCAGCCAATGGAGTAGCTCTTGGGAGCACCACATCTCTCGTCTCGGCCTTGACGTTTGGAGCTTGCATTCTAATGGGTGTCGAGCTTAATCCAGCCCGAGTTTTTACTGCAATTTCTTTCTTCAAGATATTGCAGGAGCCTATAGGGAACTTTCCACAAGCCTTAATATCACTTTCTCAAGCCAAAGTTTCTTTGGATAGGTTGGATAAGTATATGATCAGTAAGGAATTAGAGAGAGATGTGGTTGAGAGGGTGGATTATGGTGAAGAGATTGCTGTTGAAGTGAAGCATGGAGAGTTTTCATGGGAAGATGGAGACAAGGTAGGATTTATTAAGGATATAAATTTGGAGATTAAGAGAGGTTGTTTAGCTGCAATTGTGGGGACTGTTGGGTCTGGTAAGAGCTCCTTATTGTCTTGCATTTTAGGGGAGATGACAAAGATCTCAGGAAAGGTGAGCTCTTCTTCATTTTCCTCTTTTTCTTTTTTGGTTATTTTGGTGAGTCCTGGCTTGTAAAGTTTGTTATTCATTATATGTTAATTTTTTTTAATTAATTTTTTGCTATTTGTTTGTCTTGGCATGTAATGTTTCTTAAATATGCGTAGGCCTTTTTTTTTTTGGGTGGATGGCTTGAAATTTCTTAAAGGGAAAAATTTATATAGAGCCGAGGCTCTAAACAATCAAATTTGAGCCTATCCCAAAACTTTCACTAGAAAAGGTTATTTTGATGCCCAAATATCTTCAAATTGATCATCTCGACGTCAAGATGTATGGACAAGAGAAAAAAATAGATTGCAAGTTTTGAAAATAGTGTATTTTGTAATGCATTATTGGACCGTCAATTTTCCGGATTTTCATAGATATGTCGATATATACTATTTTTGAAGCTTTAAATTTTATAAATAAATATGAAACTATATTTTAAGGCTATCACAAAGATTTTCAGTATTGAAACCACATTTCTTGATACTATTTGAAGGTAGGCTCGAATTTGATTGTTTAGAGCCTAGGCTCTATACAGTACCCTTACTTAAATATGTCAAAGTGGATAGAATTTTGACTGACAATCAAATTTTGTTTTTAAAATTATTATTGTTTTTAATATTAACTTGGGACCTTAATAAGTGAAATATAACTTTTAGACATGACGTTGTGTCACCCTGCCACCTTTACCACAATGCTTAGAGGTCATTCCCTTGGTTTTTACATAACCAAATAGAGTAAGACTTCAAGAAAAGTGTTTTACAAGACTTTTGTTTTTAGAAATTCATACAAACATGATACATTTGGTCTGAACTCCTAACCCAATGTCGCTTTCTTTGATAGATGAGGGTTTTGAACAATGTTTGCAAAACCAGCTGGGTCGACTTGGATTCGGCTAGGTTACCTGGAACGGGCCACCAGCTGTGGCTAGTTTGACTGATTATAAAAAAAAAATTTATAAAAATCCAAAAAATACTAAATTTCTTTGTAATAGGTTTTTAAAGTTTTTTATTGGTTTGGAAAAGATTGGGAAGTATTTTGGCCATAAATACCAATTTTTACATTTTTTCTTATTTTTTAGATTATTTACAAAATACCATTAAGCACAAATTGATTTTTCAAAATCTATGTTTCCACTACTTTTTAAATTACTTTTCCTATTTTTGGGATTTCTTTATTTTTTTTAAAAAAATTGAACCTTTTTAGTCATGCCAGGGCCTGCCCCAGTTAGGGTTGTTACTTGGACTAGTTCCTGGTTACCAGGTCCATGGCCGGGTCCGTTCCCGGGTCGTGTTTTCTAACACTAGTTTTGAACCTTTCTTGAACAACTTAGGCAAATACAAGGGCCATAGAATATGCGCAGCTATTTTTGGCTGATGTAATGGAATTGTGTTGGTCATTTTTTCTCCTCTACTTTTATTACTAGTACTAAATAATAATATAATCACATTAATAATGAAAATTTATATATGGACAAGAAATTTTTTTTTCGGTATTACCTAATGATCCAGAATTTTCCAAAATGTAAGCGGAGGTATTACCTAGTCTGAGGAGTGTTTTCTTTAACTTCTTTATTTTCCTGTACTTTAGGGCCTCTAAGGAGGCCAGAGGGCAGTTTTCGATCAGTCAAATATTTGAAATATTGGACTGCCTCTATGCAATCAGAAGCAAAAGGCCCAGCGGCCAGTCTGATAGTGCAAGCATCGAACTGACCCCTTTAATTTATGGAAAAATATAGGGATTAGTCTTATGTTTGTACTATCAGACCGACCCTTTTGTTTTTGGAGCATACAAAAGGTTGGTCCAATATTTGAATTATCAGACTGGCATCTGGGCTCCAAAAAACCGAGCCATACAATTAAAAATATATAGGTCTGTTTTTATTATTAAGGAGATTTTTATGTAAATTCTTGTGATAATTAATAATGATAATGGTTGTGGTGGTAATAATAATAATAAATTTTATACTTATTTAATTATTCATTATTTCTTTGATCAGGTGAGAGTGAGTGGAAGCACTGCATATGTAGCCCAAACTGCATGGATACAAAATGGGACCATCCAAGAGAACATACTGTTTGGTCAGCCCATGTATGGAGAGAGGTACAGGGAGGTGATTAGGGTTTGTTGCCTGGAGACAGACTTAGAAATGCTGGAATTCGGAGATATGACTGAGATCGGTGAACGCGGGATCAATCTGAGTGGAGGCCAAAAGCAACGAATTCAGCTGGCTAGAGCTGTATACCAAGACTCGGACATCTATTTCCTTGATGACATCTTTAGTGCTGTTGATGCTCACACTGGTTCACAAATCTTCATGGTCAATTCATTTGAGCTTATTTATTTCCTTGAGCTTTTGGATCTTGTGTGTTGGTTTGCTTCTTCTTTTTTGATAAAATTTAGAGAAAATTACGTTAAGACCAGCCAAATTAGAGTGATTAAAGAAATCTTCTTCAATTTTTTAATTTTACACATGTACCATTATATAAAGTCAAATGTGACTAAGGATGAGGATCCTGAGCTATATTTCACTTCAAATATTGAATATCAGAAGTTGGAGCCCTATTTACGAACCATATGTGACTTTAGCTCTTCAAAATTCAAAGTCAAACATCAGATCAGTTCCTAAATCACATTTGACTTTATATATAAAGGGACATGATTTTATGACTTTTGATCTTGAAATTATGCAGTCATAAAATAGCTTTTATCTAGTAATCTGATAATAAAAAACAATTGAGAAAAGGGATACATACATAAAATAGAAAAAATTAGGGGTTTTTTTTTAATAATGCTAATTTGGGGGGTATTAGTGTAAATTTATTTAAATTTTATCCCTGATGTTAATGTTAATTTTTTAAAAAATATCACCATTACTATATATCTAACATTTGACCCTTTTGTCTGCCTTTTTATCCTAGATGCTAGCAGTTTTGAATCACTCTCTTTGTTGACTATTTTGAAGTGCTTGATTGAAGCCGGTGCTTTTGTCCATAAAGACCAGTTTGGAAGTAGCAGTTTTGAACATGTTCATTTATCATTGGTTTAAAAAACATGGAAACCTATGCCACCTACCGATTTGGAATTGGAGTTTTGTACACGAAAACACCACTGATTTGAAACCAACAAAATTTGAATGAAAACACTGGTTTGAAAAAACCACTGATTTGAAACTAACAAAATTTGACTGAAAACACTGGTTTGAAACCAGCAACACACTGATAGGTAATGCACTTGTTTGAAACTACTAGTTTTGAACAAGGGGCATCTTGGGAAAAAAGAAAAAAAAAAGGCAGAACGAGAGACAACAATATAAGGGGTATTATTTTAAGGAAAATTGTTTTATGTGGGATGGACCGTATTTCTACAATATGCAGTCCTAAGGTATAAAACATCCAGCTTAAAGATATTCGTAAATAGGTGGTTCATCCAAAAAAACAATTATAACTAACAATCCAAATGTTTTTTTAATATAATTATTATTTTTATTTTTTAAATTTTTATTTTTTCATATTCATGATCTTCATGTTAAAGATTATATATTTTTCAAAAATTAAGATCAAATTATATTTATAAAATATAATTATTGCCAAGCCAGTGTTTCTACAATATGCGGATTGGCCGCATAGAAACCGTATCCTTATTTTACTTCCATTTATTGTAGGAGATATTAGCCTAAGTTTACTTGCTTTAACTTATTTTAACTCTTTTTTTTTTTGCCTTATCCATTTCCTTTATTTCTTAAGTGGGTAAATTGGAATTAAAAACAAAGGGGCTTAATGCTCAATTTCTCAGTAAAATTGTTTCTTTCTTTTTTTGATTTTATAGCAGAGACAGTGCAGACGTTGGTCTTTTTTTATCTTTTTCAATGATTTAATTTAATTTAATTATTCCTTCTCAAATCTTTAACATTTTTATTTTCCAATTCCTATTTACTTTGATAGGACTGTGTACGAGGAGTCCTCAAAGGGAAGACCGTTTTAATGGTAACTCATCATATCGACTTCCTGCATGGCGCCGATCTCATTCTGGTAATATGCTTTTTCTTTTACTATTCTTTCATTTTAGACTTTTCAAAATATCATTTAAGAGGTCAAATTTTTTTTACTAAAGGGTAAAAAAGTCTCAATTAACATTAAGTAGTTATGTTATAGTTTCATTTTACCAAGGTGTCTCTTTAAAAAGGAAAAAGTTTATGTAGCGCCGAGGCTCTAAATAATATAGCCCATTTCAAAACTTTTACTATTCTTTCATTTTAGACTTTTCAAAATATCATTTAAGAGGTCAAATTTTTTTTACTAAAGGGTAAAAAAGACTCAATTAACATTAAGTAGTTATGTTATAGTTGCATTTTACCAAGGTGTCTCTTTAAAAAGGAAAAAGTTTATGTAGCGCCGAGGCTCTAAATAATATAGCCCATTTCAAAACTTTCACTAGAAGAGGTTGTTTTGATGCGTAAATATCCTCAAATTGATCATCTCGACATCAAGATGCATGGACATGAAAAAAAAATGGATTTTAAGTTTTGGAAATAGTGCATCTTGTAACGCATGTTTGGACCGTCAATTTTTAAGATTTTCAAGTTTTCATAAATATGTTCGATCTACACTATTTTTAAGCCTTAAATTTTATAATTAAAGATGAAAATATATTTTAAGGCTATCACAAAGATTTTCATAATTGAAACCACATTTCGCGACACTATTTTAAGGTATGCATTACATTAATTGTTTAGAGCCTCGGCTCTATACAAACCGCAGCCTTTTAAAAATAGGGTAATTATAAAAAATATCTTTTTTTTCAAAAAAAATTAAAAAAGCCAAATTTTTTAAAAACCTCATTGATATCCATTTTCTCTAGTGTTCATCTTTTGTTACCTAAAATACGCTCATAAACACCCACAAGTAAGTATTTAATTATTACGGTTCTAATAGAATTATGATATATTTTTATGAAGCTTTGAGCATCAGGATGTTAAAAGAACCATGATGACCATCTAATTTAAAAGTTGATGCACCATCTTAGAACCATCGTCCGTCTTGCCGGAGCGATTAGATGGATAGTATATACCCGTGGGATTAAGTAAATCTAACTTAAACCATCACTGTTCGTTTACAACCACAATGTTTCCTTCCCATTGAGTTGTGGGGTTCACGAGCATCACGGTTGTGATAGGATCGTGATGACCGTCACACGTGTATTAGAGTTAGGGGTGGTAATGGACCTAAAGCCCACTTGGGACCCGTTGGGTATACCTCACACAATCCAGTTTGGTCTAGTATTTGGACCTACCTAGTCGAGTTCGGGTCTAGATTTGGACTTGAACACTATATGGGTCCGAGTTTGGGTCCAATTGGACCTGACCCATATTTGTAAACGGTTAGAGATAAAATACTTTACTTTAAACCCTATTCATTTTGGCGTATTAAGGATCGTAGTCATCTTTATAGCTTTTAAATGACAAATCACACGGTGCGAAATCTAATAGCAGGTGATTGTGACCTTGTTCCTAATAATACAGGTATATGATGGTAAAAAAATGGGCCCAAAAAAAAAGAAAAAAGAAGTTTATAGTGAGGGTGACAATATACCCCAATACAAAAAGTTTTTTTTTTTGACGAAAATACCCTTTTTTTACATAACAAATCATTTTCACTGGAGCGGGCGGTCCAGCGTTTGGAAGAGGCGGTCTGGTGATTATTTTGCTGGAATGAGCAGTCCTACATTTGGAAGGGGTAGTCCGGCATTTTGAAATGAGCAATCCGATGGTGTTGTACAAATACGATTATATCATTTGATTGAATAGTTGCCTCAGCTCCTTGTTTGAAGAAACCCTCCACTTCAATTGGTCTTTTTTCATGAAAAGCAGTCATGAAATAATAAATCAAGTGTTTCACTAAGATTTCGAATATATGTCTCAAATTCAAGTTTATTATGTTTTGCTTCTTCCTCCGAGAAAGACGATCAAACAATTCCAAAATCATGGTCCTTGCGGATTGGATCATCCGTATCCGTATAGAATACAAAAAGAAACTCCAGATATTTGATATCTTTCTCTTTGAATGAGATTTCAAATCCAACTAGTTTCTTTTTATTGAGATTCGAGAATGATTTGATATATACGGGAAGGGTATTTTTGTAAAAAAAAATGAACTTTTTGTATTGGGGATATTTGCTAGGAAACATAGTTTTTAGAAGAGAAGTTGCTACAAAAATTAGGCGGGGAAAATTGAATAGAAAGTCCATTTTGAGGGGTTTTTATGTAATTTTTCTTTTTTTAAATCTTTTGAAAAATTGAGATATTTTTTTTTATAATTTTCCTTCAAAATATCTTAAAAAGCTTGATCTTAATTCTAAATTTTTAGACATTTTAGTAGTTTGACACAATGTTGTCAATGCGCTTCGGAGTCTTTTTAGTTCCGGTGAGAAAAATGAAGCAATTCGGTGTTTCGGCCGATTCTGGAGAAGACTTCGGATCTTTCTTTTTTTAATTTAATATAAATAAATTAAATATTTATAAATAAAATAATATTTTTTTTAAAAAAAACTCTTATATAGGGGCAGTGATTTCATGCAACGTTTGTATAATAATATAATAAAACGACACTTTTAGAAAACCATGTTTGTAGTATTTGTATGACTCAAAATTTTACAAATGCACTCTCTTCATCTCAATAATCAACTCTTAAAAAAGAAAAAGTTCAATTTGAATTCAAGATATGGTCAAAATGAGTTCCCCCCATAAACGAATCTAGGCTATTTATTTGGTAAATTTCAAGATCTTAGTTTTTATAAACTCAAAATTATAATTTCCATTTTTAACATTGTTCATTTAATGATAATAAAGCTATTCAAAAAATTGAAAATGAAAAAAATATTTCTTAGGTATAGATCTAAGCATTTCATCAAAATAAACCGTCTATGTTAATTGGATTAAAAAAATATTTTTAAAATTATGTTTTCAAAATTTTATTTTTTTTATGATGATTAATAATAATAATAATAATATATATTTGAAAATTTAGATCAAAGGGATGGGCATGGTTTTTAGAGATTGTTGCATCTCATGTTACTGTACAACCGTCCGCCAAAGAAAAAAAAGCAAAGAAAAGAATGTATGTCTTCTAATTACAGAAGAAGAGCTCTCCGCTCGCTCTGCTTTTTGGTTCTCTATCTCTTTCTCCACCTGCAAATAACTACCTCTACCCAACCTAGAGCGAGAAATAAAATCGAGAAAGATGAGAGAGAAACTCCAACGCCCAAACCAAAATGCATTGACATTTATCTTTCCTTCTCTCTCCACAGGTGATGCGCCATGGAAGGATCGTTCAGTCGGGAAAATACACAGAGCTCCTCGAATCAGGCACGGACTTCAAAGCCCTTGTGTCTGCCCACTCTTCAGCCATGGAGCTCGTGGAATCAAGCACACCATCACAAGGCCACTCTCTCTCATCAAAAACCATTTCAAATCCTAACCCTAGAAGCACTGAGAATGGCTCCATGGAGGGCTTTGAGACTACTCAGTTGCAGAAGAAGGAAGGAGTCAAGTTCATAGAGGAAGAGAAGAGGGAGAAAGGCCGTGTGAGCTGGAGTGTGTATAAGCTCTATCTCACAGAGGCCTATGGCATGCGGGGAGTGGCTCTATTGGTTGGCCTTCAATTGCTTTGGCAACTGTCTTTGGTGGCGAGCGAGTACTATGTGGCATTTAAGACAAGATCGGCCATGGATAAGTCAGAGGGTCATGTGTTCATAGGGGTTTATGGGGGGTTGGCCATTTTGGCTTTAGGGTTTATGATTCTGAGGACCTTTTGCATCGCGGCTGTGGGTTTGAAGACTGCTCAGATTTTCTTTGATGGGATGCTTGGGAGCATAATTCGTTCCCCCATGGCCTTCTTTGATTCTACACCTTCAGGGAGGATACTCAGCAGAGTAAGAATTTTGATTTTTTTTTTTTTAACACTAAGAATTTTGATGTTGTTCTTCTGATCTCTCTCTATACCCCTGTGTAATGCACGGTTTCTCTGTGTGTGTTTGTGCGCGTATGTGCTTGTGCGTGGTGCATGAATATACGTGTGTTTACATATTGAAAATGGGAAAGTTGAACCTATTTCTCCCTCTCACCTTCATAATACATAGACTAATCGTTTTATATTTTTTCTGCATAAACACTGATTTGGAAGGATCAATTGTAGATTGTAGAGTTTTGTTATGTTTCAATTAATCTTAGGACAAGCTTCAGTGTGAGAACTGTAAATATTTGTAGGAAAAAAGCTGCCTTCTTTTTTTTTTTTGAAAAATAAGTTACCTATTTTCAGAGGAGTTATTTACACCAGTCAAGGTTTCAGCTGAAGGCCAGGACCAAAAATGTCGAGAATTCATTGAAATTTTAAGTATCAATGTCGTTATTTTGTCCATTTTCTGACAAAGAATCAATGACTTTCTTTTGTCCATTTTGCAGGCTTCTAGTGATCAAACAAACACTGACACTAATATTCCATCATTATGCGGGTCGACACTTGCAAGTAGCTTTGGTGTGCTAACCCCCTTCATTGTCATGTCCCAAGTTGCGTGGCCAACAGTTTTTGTGATGACTCCATTAGTTTGGCTAAACTTCTGGTACAGGGTAAGAACTAAGTTTTTCTTCTATCCTTTATCTCCTGAAGGATTTGAACTTTATTAAGTTCCTGCTATTTCATGCGTTATCCTTTTTCAAAAATGCCATCTTTTATGACAATAGTTAAAAAAGAGCATACCTTCTTGCCAGTTAAAAAAGAAAACATGTTTGTTTTCAGCTGATGAATTTTATACTTTGCAAACTATGAAGCCTCGAGTTTAAATGCCCATAATGATATCTAAATTTTAGAGCCTAATGGGGCTTTACATAAGCATAGAAGGGTTGTGGTATTAACTATCTGTGTTTGATGTCGTTTTAATATTTTCCTTTATCTGGTAATTTAGGATTGTGCCAGACTAAACTTAGGCCCATAATGAAAATAACCCAACCATAAAACACATTGTAAGCAGAACCTCCATCCAATGCCGAAAAACATACCTTTGCAACAGAATGATCTCTAGGTACAATCAAAGCAAGTGGTCAACACAAGCAAAACATAAAGAACCAAGTAAAAAACTATGGATTGCTTTTCCGTAATTTCTTATTTTCTTAGTGCATAAATATTGTCTCCAGCATTATTATCTAGCCACCTCAAGGGAGATTACTCGGCTTGACTCTGTAACAAAGGCACCAGTCATCCACCACTTCTCAGAGAGTGTAGCAGGATTTGTCACAATCCGATGCTTTAAGAAGGAAGCAGACTTTACACGCATTAATTTTGAACGTGTGAATGCTAACCTACGAATGGATTTTCACAACAACGCTTCAAATGAATGGCTGGGATTTCGCCTTGAGATGATGGGAAGTATCATCTGTTGCTTCTCTGCGCTCTTCATGGTCATTCTTCCTTCCAATGTTGTCAAACCAGGTGCACTTTCATACATTATCTTTGCTCAAGTTTATATGGCGCTTCATGCTTTGTTACTCCTTTTTGTGGTATAGTTTTTGGGGACTCTTGTTTATTGTGGTATGTCTTAAATGATCCCGATTTAACAGTATACTGTGAAAGGGGAGAGTGAGAGAGAAAGAGTGGAATAAGGCGGGGGGGAGGGGGCGTGGGCTGTTGTGGCAGGGCAAAAAGACATGCTTTTATCTGAACTCTTAGATTCTTGTTCTGTGATTTTTTAACTCCCATGTTGATCTCTCCTTGTGATGTGATTGATCAATCAGAGTTTGTGGGGCTCTCTCTGTCGTATGGACTCTCTCTAAATGGTGGACTATTTGGTTTAATATGGGTGAGTTGCTCTTTGGAGAACAGAATGGTATCCATTGAGAGGATAAAGCAGTACTGCAACATTGAAGCTGAGGCACCATGGGAAATCAAAGGCTCCCTTCCATCTCCACAATGGCCAACCCATGGAAACATGGATATAATGGACTTGCTGGTACCATGCTTAAGTATTATAATAGTGCCGTTAAATGATATTACTTTGGCAAATTCCATCCTCTTGTACACGGTCTTACACTTAGTGTTGTTGCGATGGATTCGTATTGGACATTTCTAAATCAGGGAGTGTAATCATTTCAACAAATATATGGTAAAATGGAGGGAAAAATTCACCTGAAACCATTATATCAAACAAAGGTTTAACAGTTCCATAAGAACCATTTCTATGTCTATAACTCCGATATTTTTAGATTGAAAACATGTAATTCACATTGCAATTTTCACAGTATGTATAATGAGTTATATTACACAATTTCAGAAAGAAAAATTATGAATTTATCCAACTTATGGCTTCTTTGAATATCCTAGGTGAGGTATCGGCCAAATATGCCATTAATTTTGAAAGGAATCAGTCTTAGTATCAAAGGAGGAGAGAAGATTGGTGTGGTTGGGCGAACTGGGAGTGGGAAATCGACATTGATGCAAGTGTTGTTTAGGATTGTGGAACCATCAGGAGGAAAGATTGTAGTTGACCAAGTTGATATTAGCACATTGGGCCTTCATGATCTTCGCTCTCGCTTTGCGATCATACCTCAAGAACCAGTGCTCTTTGAGGGCACAGTTAGAAGCAACATTGATCCTTTGGGGCATTACACTGATGAGGAAATTTGGAAGGTAATTGACTTGTAATACTATTCTCTTCTTTTGTAATGTAGCTAAGCTACTTTCTGAAAGCGAAAAGCATTGAAATGGTATTCTCTAATTCGTTTTTGATTTCCTATTACATGTTCTATGTCGTGTTACTCAAATAGTCATCTATTGTCCTTTCCTTGATTTTTAAAAATCACTGCACATGTGAAGTTCTATGCTCCCCCTCTTTTCTTAGAATTTTTCTTGGTTAAATACCATCCATGTTGAGGGTGGGTCATTGCTCCTATGCGTGTATGTTTAGAAGGTACATGATGGGTTCTTGGTGACAAGCGTATTCTTAGTGAATTAGGGAAAGGCACCAGCCCCACCCCAGCTGTCCCCACTTTTTGTGAAATTGACTGTACGGTATTAATATTCAAGTACATGTTGCATCTCGCTTGTCTGTGGGTACAAAAATAAGAAAAAAATTCAGGAGGTACAAAAGATCGATCAAAGAAAACTCAGGCCTCACAAAAAGGCTGAGAGACTGGAAGGAGAATATACAAAATGTGAATGGCCCAGTTTTTGGGCAGTGCGTGGCTTGCATGTTTGAATAACCCAAACCAAATATGGACATGAAATTGATGTTTTTTTTCAAACATGCCTGGCTCCAGCTTGATTGTATTCATGCATCCACAGCAAAATCGAAAAATAGAAGGAAACATTCAGGGGTATTTTGATAAAAAAAAGTTGATTTACCTTGAAGTATGTCGTTTTTCCCCTTTTCCTATGAATTATGTTCGTTATTAATGTCTGTTTGATTAGCTTTCTAAGCTAGTTTTTAAATATTTTGTTTTGTAGAGCTTGGATCGGTGCCAGCTGAAAGACGTTGTGGCTGCAAAATCTGACCGACTCGACTCTTCTGGTAATTTATAATATAATAGTGCTTTTAATTTCACTCATGGTAAATCAAAAGAGGGTCAATGTTAGATCTTTCTTTGCAGCAGTTTAATCTAGCAGTTCTTGCATACTCAAAGTTCCAGTTCTTCCTGGCAATTTCCTTGACATACAGTTTTCCTTGACCTACTTTTTTTTTTATTTTATATTGTGTGTTTCATTTAGCTTCATTCTACTTGCTCTCTCTCTCTCTCTCTCTCTCTCATGCAAAAAAAATTTGTCTTTCTCCAGCCTCCTCCTGGTCTTCTGTTTTTTTCTTTTCAAATTTTATTTACTCAATTATTATTATTATTATTATTTCTTGATTCTTGACAATTCTTCAAAAATGTTAGGTCTTTAACATTTTATGACCCTTAACTATGTGCTATTGCTTTTTCCTTGGCCCCATAGTGGTTGATAGTGGTGAAAATTGGAGTGTGGGTCAGAGGCAGCTTCTTTGCTTAGGGCGAGTCATGCTCAAGAAAAGCCGCATTCTATTCCTTGATGAGGCAACTGCCTCTGTTGACACACGAACAGATGGGATCATCCAAAGGATCATTAGGGAAGATTTTGTGAAGTGTACCATAATCAGCATTGCTCATAGAATACCGTCTGTCATGGCCTGTGACAAGGTCATGGTCCTAGATGCAGGTCTCTCTCTCTCTCTCTCTCTCTCTGAGTGCCAGTATTTCCTACTATGTTGGTCAGCTTCTGTATACTTTCAATTGGTGTGCACTACTTGATTATATGAATCCTCTGCATACTTGCTTGCATGTGATTGCACTCCTGCAATGATAGCAATCATGCTAATGAAATGCAATTTATGTTTTGGTTTCCGAGTAGGATTGGTGAAGGAGTTTGAGAAGCCATCTCGACTGCTAGAACGGCCGTCATTCTTTGGAGCACTGGTTCAAGAGTATACCAACCGTTCATCCAATCTATAGATGGCCAAGATTCATCTCTTCACACCCCAAATGGCCGTAGTTCTAGCATGAGGCTCATTTGTGGTCTGACTGTCCCATATTCCTAGATCGCCTCTCCGATTTAAAGTTTTGACCCGATTCTAGATGAAATCATGGCGTCAGAATTTTTTTTTAGTTTTTTATTTTATAAATTATATTCTGGATATGGTTTTTATGAGTCCACGTAGAAATGAGTCAGACTCGCAAAAATCTATTTTTGAGATGGATTTTCGGATCCAATTTTTAAGGATATGTAATCTCTAACATGGAGATCATAAATATAAATAAATAAATAAGTTTTAAGACAAAAATAATGATTTTATGAAGAAAGTGTTCGGAACGTTAGTTTCAATTGTTTTTAGATGGACCACTTATTTGCATCCATATTTAAGATTGATGCTTTATAACTTGGGATTGTATATTGTAGAAGTGCAGTCCAGTCCCCATGAAACACTTTTCTTTCTTATTTTTTGTTCTTTTTTCCGTATATGTCAATTTGGGAGCGAACCTTGGTTGTTGCGCCTCTCCTCAACACTCAAATGAAATCAAGTGCCCAGTTTTCACAATTTCCTATTCTTTTTTTGATAATTTATTTATTTTTATTTTTTTTTAATAGAAAGTTCACTAAATTTTATTGCTCTAGAATGAAATTACATATTTCGAAACGGATACATCAGAAAGAGTAGTACCGCCTTTGGCAAGGAAATTTGTCAAGGCATTCGCCTCTTTATAAAGGTGAACAAAGGAAACAGAGAGGGAAACGGATAAATCCAAGAATTGCAACAACAATGGTTTAAGTCCCCGCGGAAGTTGTTCTTTCTTGCACCATAATGTCACATTAAGAGAATCCCTTCTTAGATTGAACTTATGTCTCAATTTCCTATCCACAATAGTACGCAGACAAAAAAGAAAAGAAGCAAAGAGTTCAATAAAGTTAGCAGTCCGAACACCAAGAGGACTTGTATAAGAAAGACCATATTTCCATCCCAATTTTGAATCACTCCTCCAAAGCCAGATACACCCGACAGAATTTGGATTTGTTGCCAAATTTGTATTTTTGGGCTAATGAGTGAGTGCTCTTCATTTATTTTCTTATGCGAAATTAATGATGCATATTGCAAGTATACATCTGATGTTTATATGGCTTGCGTCTTCTTTGTTGAAAACCCTAATTAGAGGCTAACGTTAACCATCACAAACTTTGTTGCCCATCAAAATACAGTTAATGATCTCAGGGTTCGATATGTTATACGCATAGTAATTTTTGCTTTGAATCCTGGTCAACTTTGGTTATGTATGTATGTATGTGCTGCTCATACATATGGATGTGCTTTGACATTTTCTCATTTATAATCTTCAATCTCTATTTGTTTTACCTCTAGGGAAATGATTCTTTTCTACAGTAATGTAGTTTGCAGAGTCGGTGTTCATTGAAAACTACTTGTTATTTACAAACAGTACATGCAATATTACTACAGTGTATGTTTTATGTCATGCAAGAAAAGGATAATAATACCATACCGTTATGTGTGCAATCGACCGGCAATATGATTATTAATACAATATAGATGTTGACCACGTTTAACGTGATCGGAGCACATGATTATTTAGTTCTTTCCATTTAAAATCTTGAGATCCACTTTAGAATGGGGAGTATTTGAGTTTATGAATTCTTAGATCTTGGATCTGCCCATAGAAAATTAGAACATTTTTTTTTTCTTTTTACGATACATATATAATCAGTAATTTTCTTTTTTGCAGATTCTTTTCCTTTTTTTTGAAATTGCTTGCTAGGTTTGAGAAGCTGCATTCCAAAAATTTGGGCCTACTTCTATACTGGCTTTATACCTTAGGGAACATATATGCAATCATTTGTATTGGTATTGGCTCATTGGATAAAGTTGCACTCTAAACAAAACTTCGGTCGAAAGTGAGCTTCAGATTAGTTGCTTTTTTAAACCTGGCGATTTTCGTTATGGATTGCTGATTTGGATAGATTATAATTTCAATAAGGGCCCTATGTTTTTTAAAAAAAAACAAAAATACTTTATTTCCCTCTTAATTCATTTCTACAACTCCAAATAGTGCCGCTTTCAAGTATATGCCACCAACTGAGATCTGACATTATAAATAATTAAATATGGGTGTGGTTGTTTGTAGAAGGCCCAGGCTAAACTGCAGTATCGAGTAATGTGGTTTCAATATTGAAAATCTTTGTGATAGCTTTAAATTATATTTTTATCATTAATTATAAAATGTAAAGCTTAAAAAAAGTGTAGATCGAGTAGATCTATGAAAATTGACGGTCCAAAATGCATTATAAAATGCATTATTTCCAAAATTTGAAATTCGTTTTTTTTCTTCATGTATATACATCTTGAGGTCGAGATGATCAATTTGATGATATTTGAGCATCAAAAAACAAGGTCATTGTTAATTTGATTGTTTAGAGCTTCACACTTATATAAACTTTTTCCAGTTTTAAATTGCACGCAATCTCTCTAAACAACAAAGCTGACTCTCTTAATTTGCAAAACCCCAAATAAAACCTGAGCCCCTCTCTCTTTCTCTCTATTAATTTCCTTTTCTCCAAATAACGAGGCTTTGAAAGAAATCACCAACTAAGTTATGAAATTCTAAAATCCAATGACCTGGCATACCAATCTTGCCCCTTTTGAGGGGGAAGAGAGAATTTGACATTAGAGAAAGTGTAGAGAGATCGTGTAAAAAGGTTGATGACCTTAATTATCTTAACCCCTTTCATGTCTCATTAAAAGGGTTGAGTTGCGTTACGTAGGCAATCAATATAAAACATTTCTAAAACTTATAATAAATCTTGAACACATAATATCTGCTTATGGTGGGGCGTTCTTTGATGCGTTGTACCAGATGGCCCTTAATAGAGCAGAATGACGAACCAGAATTCTTATAGCCGATTCCAATTAATTACAAAAAAGATTTGACAATGATGAGAAAGTGAAGTGAAAATTGAGTCATGTTTTAATGAGTAGGTAAAGCACATCAAAATTCACATGTAAAAACTTGGCCAAAAAATACACGTGGTAATAAGTACCAAAAACAAAGCTTGCAGAAGGAAAATTGTTTTATGTGGGTTGGACTT